GCTTACATTAATTACGTCTAAAATAGTTCCTCGACACGCAATATGATAACAACGCGACATTTTTTTGCAAATGGAGAACAGCAACATCGTAAACAATTTGTTGCCAACTTACGAGTTACTTAAATAATATCTGGCTCACAGGTGCCAAACAAGGTTTCCTTAAAATAGCTAATATCATACTCCTTTTAATTTTTTCAATTAAATAAAACTGCCTACTTCATTCAATTTAATACTTCGAGAGTCTCTGTTTAACACCAAGGACTTCCTTCTAATGTTTTTAATATAAATTTTGTGGCGTGGTTTGATTCCTAGTACTCTTAATAACGTTTGCTGAAAAGTGGTCACGATGATGTCATAACATCGGTTTTTATTCATCGCCATTACAAATTCAAATTCATGAATACATCTTGATCGATAGCTCGTAAATTCTACGATGGAACCAGGTCTTTTCCGTTAATACATTTTGGAGTATAGAGTGGTTAGCTCCCGTACAGTTTCTAGTGTAGTCGTTGCTCTAATTCACTAGTCGCTTCCATACTAATGAGCCGAACCAGCAAAGTATTATTCTGTGACATGTCCCATAACTGTGGTTCCATATCCTGAACTAAATTAAACAAGAGATACCGAGAAACCCCATCAAAGTGCGCTTAATTGGTAAAACAATGAGAATATAGTAACAGAAATTTACTACAAGACCAACATTCCAGGCAACTCAATCGTTACACAGAGCCAGCTACTGTACAGTGGACCAGTTGCACGTTGTCTCGATCCGACACTGAACTCTGTGAGTTCGCCAACGTTACTCGGCTGGCCCAGTGGGGAGTTTGGCTGGAAATAGAACTCGCAGCGAATATGCAAATTCATTTAATTTTTTAGACACGTTACATTGGGTTTATATGGCACGATTGGTGTACGTGTCATTCACTCAAATGCTACCCAGGGTCAGCTACGGCGTGTAAGCTTTTTAATAAGAGTACTTTATTAGTTATCGGCCGTATAATGTGAGAGCATTATTTCACATGTTTATAAACAAGTAGAGTTGTCTAATAAAACCGAGCGAGACGGAAAATTCTGTACCCGGCAGAGCCATAGCACCGCCTGGCAACAAGGCTAGAGACAACATTTTCGTTACTTTTGGACCTGGTTCTGTAACAAACCGGCTTCATCGAGTGGGTTACATTCCTCTCCGCTTGCCACCGAGAGTACGCTATCAATAAATGTTATTTATACTTTTAAAACTTCATTCAGAGACGGTCGACGCAGCGACGGGGAATGCTTTTCTTCTAAGTCTCGAACGAAATCTATCTGGGATATTAATTGTCTCTAGGCCAATACCAAGTTTACACAAAAATTAATAAAGTGTGAAATGAAGATAATTTCTGTCTTTTCTACACAACTCCATGCGTAGCAATGTCGTACCCAGAAATACATTGTAAAGTGCTTGGTTGTCTCCGTATTGGAAGGTTGCAAACCGCAAGTTGAAGCACTAAACTAATAATGAAATATTAACACATATAGCAGAAATAACGCTCGCTTTATTTACAATACGAGTTTCTAATAATTTTAATGGTAAACATATTAAGTTCACTGACAACTTGGATTGGGTTGATGGAACTTTTGGTGAAATTCCACGAATACTATAGTCCCCCCTCCACGAACATTTTAAGCTTATGCGTATGCATTTGTGCATGTCAAAAGACGTTTATCTTCCGTTCTGAAAGTGGAGCAGTGCAAATCGCAGGCTTTTCAGCGATAAGATACGCACGCCAATGTGCTCAATATATTCGTCGCGCGATAAAAATAGGAGCAATCATAGTAAAGCAGGAAGCAAGCACATATCCGCAAAACAATTTTGCCATTTGCGAACAGATTAATTCCATCCCAAAGCGGTTCGAGACGGTAACGAAAGCCTTATCTGACTTATCGCTTTTATTCGCTCAATTATCTAGCAGGTGGCGGCATAGATTAGAGCTGCGAATGATTTTGCTGTCGTTCGGTTTGATTTTACCTTTCGCTTTATCGTGGTTCGGACGTTGCAACTGTTCCCATCCATGTGCAGCGGAAAAATCCTTAAGTGTTATGTCACAAGTAAAAAAAAATCGGTCCGCCACACTAGGATACTACTACGTGCTCGACACAGAACTTCACCAGCTGATGTCGCGGCGGGATCGGCGTAGGCTGGGCACGTCGCGGACGGAACGAAGTCTCCAAGCACACTACGTTCGAGACTGAAACGGATTTCGTCGCTGCCAAAGCTCGAACGCGACGATACGCTGTCTCGTACTCCGGCCGCGTTTTCCTCTTTCTACTTGTTGACTGCCCCATCGCGTTTACTCACTCCGTTGATAATGGGAAAGCGAAAACCTTTTGTCCGGGAAGGCGATCATTATTTCCCCTAGTATTGGAACTACTACATTTTCACAGGTAATTTAACCCTGCCTTTCCTAGGTCATTGGTACTGGCTTTGTTTAAGTAATGCAAATCTAACCGTCCTACAAATACAATGCGACGAAATAGTCCCAGTTTCATAATTTTTCTAATCAATAAGGCCCCAACGTCCAAATTTACAATATTCCATAGAACAAACACTCAAGGGAACATACTTTGTCAAGCAATATTTTGATTTTGTCCAATAGCTGCTACTACTACTGAAGACACAAAATCCGAGCAATCTGAGATTTATAAGAAATTTTGCTTCTGCATTTTCTAGGCCAATTTTCACATTGTTTTACTTAAAAAAAGGCGCAATATGCAAATAGACAATATTTCATAGAAGAAATTCTCAAGGCAATTTACTTTGTTAAGAAATATTTCGATTTTGTCCAATTATTGCCAGTACAATTTTACCTCTGCCTTTCCTTTCTTTTCCATGAAGGGCAAATTCCACTTTGCTACAAACAGAATGCAAAAAAATCATCCAATATTCATGATTTTTGCAATTATATATTCACGATATGCAAGTTGACGATATTTGTCAGATAACATTATGAGTTTGTCCAATCATAGCTAAAATAGAACATTTCTTAGTATTGACTGGGTATTACCTAGGTATCAACTAATAGACCTGTTAGAGAAACCAAATACAGCACAATGGATGGGGAATTCTTCGGATAGTATCACTTTGGAAAAAAGCGTTCACAAACCACAGTCCATTGGAATTGCTGTTTTATGTCAAAGATTATTCAAAGTTGTGTTTAAAAAGTTCAGGGATATAGGAATGTATTGCTTTGAGGTAAGCATTCAAGGTATATCACCAAATGGTAGACTTGTGGAACATGCTCTAAATACGTTAAACTAGTCAGAAACCAAGCGAGTATGTACCATAAAAAAAATCACAAACCATCGGCCACTGTCATTGCTGTTTTCTCTTAAAGATCATTCGCAGTTAATTTTAAAAAGGTTCATAGGATATAGTACCAAATTTTTCTTTATTCAATAATAGACAATCGATATGTTATGAAAGAAATACTCGAAAGACGGTATTCTGTCCGGCAAGATGTCCAATGTTTCACAGATGTTGAATCAGACAAGAGCCATGGAAAAAGAGCTTTTGTCTATTGTATAGATACAAAACTGAAATAGCACCTATTTGGAAAAAATGTAAATCTCTACCAGCGCCTATTCACATGGCTCTTTTCTGAAATAATTTAATTGGTTGACGACTTGCATTACAAAAATTCGATGTCAAAGTTATAAGAAAAGGTTCATATAATGTAATATCAGATGTTTCTTCATTCAAGAATACGTTTAAGTGCAAATTGCTTTTTCATTCTTTCCTGGTGTGTGAAGATGCTTCTAGTTTGCTTCTTCTGGTTAGTATGTGTTTGAGACAATATGAAATGAAATTTTAAAGAAATTAAACAAAATTAATCATTAAGTCATGAAAAGGAATAATCACCTGTTTCGACTCTCGAAAATAAATCTTTCAAATAATTATTTCGATTTCGTTTGAAGAAATAGTAATGCAAATCTTTTGAACTAAGAATTATATATTGAACAAAAGGTGTTTTGCAAAATTATGACCATAATCCTCATTACATAAAAGTGACAGTGAAAAATTAGCTGTACATGTGTTCAAACTTTGCTGAATATATCTGCAAATACAAAATAGTAAGATATTAACAAAGAGATGCATGAATTTATGAATGTTCTGATGTTAAAAAATGATAAATAAAACAGGAATGTAAAAGATTTTTTAAATAATTTTCTTGATTGCTAAAGAGTAGACTTAAACTTGTATTGAATGTTACATTATTTGAAACAAAAAAAATCTCGATTTCATTTTAAAAGAAAAACTACAGTATGCTCCTATATTCCAGGAGTGTGCAAATAACATGTTTATTTGCTATATAATAATTTTAATTGGACGGAATTTCCATTAATTTGTAGTTTAATGAACTCGTTGGGTATCAAAATATTATTTATAAATTAGCTACTGTTTCTGGTTTCTTTAAATGTTAACCGAGGTCGAAGAAGAATCCTCTTCCAGCCAGTAGTCTTGGGTTTATTTAAAAACTTCTCACGCAATTAAAATTGGACCAAAGTATTTAATGTAAGATATTTCTTAACTTCAAAAGAAGCAAGTAGTTTTAAATATATTTTTGCTACCGCCTTCGACAAGTTCTTGGTGTTGCGTCCAACCAGTTTCAAGCAAAACAAGATGAGCTCTTAACATATCAAAGGATGAGGAAGCACAGACATACGTTTCTTCAGAAGTGTGTAAAATCAGTTTATATTCAACCATCGATTTGTTTTTTCGGAATGCTGTAGCTTGTGAGTACACGTTTTTCTGTCTATACTTCTGTAACAAAACCAACGCATTCTAATTTCGGTAATTTATAAAAGTTTGTTCAACAAATTTTTCCATCTAACATTTGAAAGATAACTTCGTCAAATCCATGTTGGAAAAGTAATGTGTTTTTTAATTTAATTCTAAAATTATATTAAGATTAAGAGCCCATTCAAATGCGACAGATAACCGGAATTTTATTTGTACGTACCTTTTTTACGACAACACTCCTTGGTGAAGTTGGATATCTGAAAGAAGAAATACCTATGAGTAAGTAATTGTCAATCATCACCAGCTTATTATTAGTGTAACCAATAGGAACAATGAACTTTTGGTAATTTTTAACCACCTTCAAAAAGTTCTGAAATATTCTCAGAAATTCAGTTTGTTACTAAAAATATAATAAAATAAATATAATAATAAATAAAAATATATAACAGTGCGATATTTCACAGACCTACAGTTACTAGTAGCATAAATAGTAAATATATACGATACAGAAACTTCTTGAAAAATGTTTCAATAACATTCGTAACATGGAATATTTGTTAAATATTGTACTGTTAACAAATTCTACCACAAAAGCCAGTTAACGACTAAGTGTATCACTTTGTTTGCAAGCTTTGTAGTAAATATTTACTATAAAATACTAAATTATATACATAAGAGTTACATAATATCATAACACTATTAAGAGAGATTAGATCCTTCTGATTAAAATTGTTGAAATAATAAATTAATTTATCTAAAGGTCGAACTGTATTTTGTTAGGGAACTAAGTTTTACTTTAATTTCGACATCTCAGTGAGAAATATGAATGAAAATACAACGTTAATAAATTTCAAGTATTATTAATAGATACCTATTGCAAAATATATCTAATTAATGAAATTGTATTTATGCTACAAATTTCATAGCACTTAAACGCAAAACTATTTAGTTATAATTGTTTTACATAAATGTTATGCAGCTACTACCAGTAACTTTTTTATTTTTACACCATGTAGGTTCAAGCAGTGGATGAAGCATTTGTGATAATTAAGAATTTTTATAAATACTAATACTGTTTGAAACCCTCTAATTGAACTGATATTTCAAGATATACTTTATTTGTTTGAGACAAGTCTTGACTTTTTCTGTTGAATATGTAACACATTTTCTAAAAATAAATTCCGAAATAAAAAACACAAACATAACATTCTCAAGGCAAGTACTCATAAAATTAATATTAGCATATATTTCCTTTAACGGCACAATTAATGACTTTAATAATTTATGTGTTATCTGACTTGATGTACGAAGAAAAATGAATGAGTACTTTCGCGAAAATACTTCAGCGTATAATTAACATTTACCATATTTAAAATTGCGCGATAAATTCACTTAAAACTGTAATAAAATGCTATAATATTTATGCTAATAGCTGAAATAAAATACTGACGAGTGATGAGGTTTATTGCAAATAATGCACTATTAATATGCAAATTACTTTTATTATAAAACAGTGATGTGTGTTACAAAAAAAGCCATTAATATTAATTTTTATCCACGCTTTAGCATGAGTACTCCAAAATATTATTCAAATGCATCGTCGTTCAAATCCTTTCTACAAATATACGCATCAAAAAAATTTTAAACCGGCTAATATTGCATTGCATATCTGCACTAAAAATTTTTTCGTTTTGTATTATTGTTCAGATGAATACCGTCACAAAGCATTGGTTTGTACCTACTGGCATAGAGTGATTGTTGATACTATAAAAGCATGACTAGAATCACATTAAGAGGAATAAACTTTTTAAATGATGATAATTTGATAAATAACTAGATCACTAGCATTGAATTACATTCCCGATATATATTAAATAGCTTCATCGATCGTCTCACCCTGGCATACTAACGAGAACTAATAAGTTCGAAATGTCTGGGTACTGTCCTCTACGAAGCCATATAGCTCGTGGAGTAATTGTTTCCCACAATATCATTTGTTGAAAAATTGTCTGTATATTTTAGGTATATTTTCTCCAAAACTGAAAGTCATAGCCTGATAAATATTTATATCAGTGTATAAAATTGAAATTTTATCATTTTGCTTACATTTTACTGCTCTTATCACAACGCGGTTCAGACTGTTAGCCACCCGATGTTGAGTTGTGACCCAGGGGTTAAGAATGACTATTTCAGATTAATTTATAATAATAAATACGATATCTCGTTGGATTTATATTATTTACTATTCGTGTCAAAAAGATACATAGATAATGTTTATTTGTCTTATACATGGAAGAATTTGTGTATTGCAAAGTGAAAATCGACCCATAATTTTTTTTCTCGGGACAGGATACATACCCATTCCGCAGATTTATTGGTTGCGCGTATAAAACAGTGTACTAATTGTTATAAATATTTATACAACAGACGTTCCACGTAATTTTTGCAGTGTGTGCTCGGTGCTACCAAATTTAACACTTCCGCTCATTGAGCGTGACGTCAAGGACGTCTCCTGTGCAAATACGTATATTTTATTTTTCGTCTGTGATGGACGACTGCTACAGGGAGACTAGTTAGCTAATTAGTTCGTTGGGCACCTTTTATTATTAGTCTGTCTGTTTATTTTTAACATAGATTTTAGAAATTTTGAAAATCCTCAGCCATTTAACTTATATGTAATTAGTTTTTGGAAAAAGTACACAGTAAAGTGTGATCAGCAGCAAAGGCAGCAAAAAAATATTAAAAAAGAAAACTTTTCTCGATTTACCTGGATTTCAATTCTTTGTAGTCTTGGACAAACTTTTCTCTCTTACTAAATACTAAAATTTTGATATTAATTGAACGTGTTGAATGTTGAATATACAAATTTGCCGCACGTATGTACATTGGATACACCAGGACCTTGAGAAAGGTTGTCCTTATCCTTAAGAAATTATAGATGGTATTAGGTGTCCTACTAATGATATCCTATATATCATCCAATCCAGGAGGATTTCCAGAGCAGTTGATGGTGTGGAGCTGATTGCACCAGACAGGCTTGTCTCTTTAAACCAGAAAATTTGGGTTTAGTTTTCCTTTAAAAACTTTTAGACTACCAAAATATCGAGTCTCATGACCATCACATATAGCCAGTTTGGGACCTAAGCCCAAGAAATGTCCACAAACATGTCGACATTTCCACAGAGACATTCTTGCTTTGGAAACTATTTTCTTCACATGGGAATTCCAAGTGAGCGTCTTATCTAAGATGACACTTAGATATTTGGCTTCCTCAGCAAATGGTATTATATTCCCCGATAAACTGGAGATGAGAAAATAGTGTGGTCTCAAACGGATTAAGCTATTTGTTCTTGTGAAGGTACAATAACTGTTTTGTAGAAGTTTACAGACATTTGAAGTGCTATCTGGTTCTCTTTTCTTCGTCATGAACGATTAAAAGATATCAAATTTTTCTACGGCTTTAGATAGTCCTTCAATGTAGTTAATTCTCTTGATCGTTGAATGGTTTGCCAACACAAAACATTGTCTTTAGTTTTAGGCCATCTCAGTAGTTATGTCACAACGAACAGACTTGTTGGTCACATAAATGAATTAAATTTGCATTATTTAATTTCAAATGACTCTAGTAGCTTTGCAAAATATCGTTAATAATTTGCTAGATTTCTATCTGCCTAGGTTTGTATAAAATGTCTGGTTTGTTTACTTATTTATTTTTTATTGAAATATTGATATTTTCTGATTCAGTATTCCCGTAATAACCTTCAAAATGCGCATTATAAATTACTAACCATAAATGTGCGGCAAATGATAATGAAGATAATAATCTTTATAGCCATTGAAATATTCTAGTCACATTCTGAATCAGGAGATAATCTATTTTTGTGAACCTATATTACTCATTCAGATATTCGATTAAATAATTATTTGAATTATCAAGGGTCTTCATCGCCTAAGAAAACTTTATAGTTTGATATCGTGCCAAATAACAACCATAAAGTTTCTAATTGCTGTTTTTACATTTTTCAGTCAATTGTCAGTTACCAAGATTTCATACTGCCTTGTTTCAGAAATCTTACCTTTCAATGTTGTGCACATGTTAATTAGAGTAACCATAGGCTCGCCTTGTATTGTTATTATTATATCTTTGCAATTTTTGTTTTGGTGTATTTTACCTGGATCTCAAAAGCAATCAATACAGTTCGAACTTAAAGATGCAAAGGATTAACAGGGTGGATTTTGTTCCACGAAACGTTAAGAGTTTTGTTTGTCTAATAAGAGGAATGTTTCAATATAACCTCAAGTAATCTCCAATAGACCCTCACGTAAACACCAGGTTTACTCTAAATCCCGATACACATTCCGCAAGTTTGCTTACAATGCCTGTTAGAATATAACTCTCAAGAAATCCAATTAAGACGCTTTCCAAGACCGCAACATTGTTCCAAACGACGAAAGCCCATTTCACTGGAAAGAGACTGCCAAACTTGATTATTTTTTCATTCCAATAATTGGACTTTACGTTTATCTGTTTAATACAATCAAGTAGCAGATAAATACGCAAGTGGAGCTTTATTACTCGAGCAGCCACGACCTCGAATTAAAAGGAATCACAAGGAAAGGAGCCAGATGTAGATCAAAAACTGTTTTTACAAAAATTCCAATAATGTTTAAGTTTTTGATGAATTTAACAAGTAAGTAATCAGCAGAAATTATGTTTTTGCGTTCCAATCTATGAAGCCAAGCAGCAGTAGCGCAAAAAACTCGTTAAGCTAATGATGTTAGAGTTCCGTAGGTGTAACGAGAGAAAAACTGCGTCTTTATCTGCTTAAATGTTCTCTACCCGCATTCCACACTCTGAATCCTGACAAGTTAGATATCCATCGAACTCCTCTCGAACAGCGTAAGCAGTTTAAAACATAAATTGAACACTTTGCCGCTTCCAACACAATTACTTAGTGCCGAGTCAGGCTCTCACTCCTTTGGCTTCTATGATTTATATCATCTGCTAGACGAGCAGCCCTATCAAAGGAATCTTTCTCTGATTAATGTCGGTTGTATTTCCATGGCTGTGCTGTGGGTAGGTTTCTTTTAATTGATCGAATTCGGGTCGGCTTCAAACTTACCGTTTCTGGTTCGAGAAAAGCGAAGAAAGTAGATTTCAGTAATAGCGTCGGCGAAAGTTTAAGGAAATAATAAAAAAAATATTTAAAGTAACTAAATTAAGTAACTGGCTTGGTTTACTTTGATTAAATATTAA